GTGTGTGTGTGTGTTCGAGAGAGACATATATATATATACGCGTGCACACGCAAACACCGACACAACTCGTTTCGATTTACGTTTTTATGCCAATTTTCTCGTTCTTTAAGATAAGGCTGGACATACAGTCGTGTAGACATCCTATTATGTGTCGCACTCCTACCTACAAATATGCGGCACTAATCTAAACGAGGCTTCATCCTTCTACATTTACCTTAACAAACATATCGGAGGAAATCAACGGGGGTTATTAAATTGTCAACTAAATATAATTCATTAATTGTCCTACTTGCAGTGGCAACGATAGTAGGTGGCAGGTCGTTGCATTCTTAGTCATAACAGCAGTAGTAGTAATTATATTGACACTATAGACGGACGCTGTCACACTAAAAAACGTGCTTACGTGCACGGTTGTTGAAGATCATGTCCCTTGACCTTGTTCTGTTTCTAACTTTCTTGTCATTTGTTTTAACGTTTTTATATGATAAGATGACAGCAGGAACTGGTTCGAGGTGAAAGGTTCAGTCTGGAGGACGGCAGCTTACGAACAGATTCATACTTTGTAATATTCCTCTAATTAATATTGATACATATATGTATAAATAGTATATGCCCAAGGTGAGCCAAGGTGCGTCAATGTAATACTCTTACACAGCGGTGCTATAAGTAGTTTCGCTGCGTGTTTTCATAACCGCATGTACAAAGTTGTTACCCCGCTGAGATTTACATTAAAACTATGCGGCATAGAATGGTATATCTAACACAAACATTACGGTTATCTTCTGGAGGGTAGTTTTGAATGGGCGAATTATAGATATCCTATCTAGAAACACACCTACCACAGCACAATAGTTACGACTTATAAACTACCTAATGGATTATATAATTAATTAGTTTACAACTAGACGTGCACCGTTAAAATATCGTTACGTGCGACAGTCGGTGTTTTTGGCATTATTAGCTACGTATGAAATGTATGTTCATAATAACCCATATAGACAACATTTTGCAAACTGGTAACGCGGGTGGTGAGTAACAGGAAGTAGTAAATTAAAGTAATTGTGACGTCATTAATTCCATGTTTATGTTCATTGAAAATTAAGTTATTAGTTATTCACGAATATAATGCAATCTTTCGTTAAGTGTTTCCTATTGTTTGACCAATAATTCGAAACAATAACGACTAGCTGCGATCTGCTCAAAGAATTGACCGGCCTTGACCGAGTTGTGAATAATAACAGCTAGGCCCGTGTTTTTAAAGCGGTGTTCGGGATTTGATTACCTGTCGCTGCTTCTACGCGAGCGTATGAAAATGCATCTCATTTAGGAAATTACATAGAAGCGAAGCGTTGAAACCAAAGTATGAAAGCAAATAAAACAGACTACGATAGGATAAAGACCTTGTGAAAAAGCTGTTAAAATTTTTCAACGCGTTGCAGTTGCTCTGTTGGATAGAGAAGACGATAGGAGAGCAAATGGATATGTCCTTGGCTAGAGATGCGACACACGTGACACACAGACACGCAGTCTCTAAGTGTGGTCGCTCTTTTACTACATTTTAGAAGAGCGTCGCAGTCAATAGAAAACAAATAGGGCCAACCACTATCCTAAAATGAATAGAGCTATGGTTCCAAGGAATAAACTAAATTTGAGTCCACACTGATGTCAGCTATATTCTATTCAGAGCAGCAATAATATTTTAAAAAAACGCGCGGGGATGATTTCATAAAGTATTCTGCCAAGTGTGCAATTTCATATTTTTGGTAGCAATATTAACGGGGTAAATCTGACAATAAGTGGGGGGGGGGCTCACTTGACACAAGGAACACGTTGCTGGATTCTTTTCCACGGCGGCAGCGGATACTGCATGCGACTATTCGATATCCAAAGAGTTGGCAGCCTTTTTTGCCTAATAATAATACATGGTGGGTAAAGCGTGAAACAAATTACCGAGGCATGTCGTGTCGATTGCTATAGAAACAAACGAGAGGCGATGCACTTGAAACCGGTTCACGTGCTGCCGTAGAGAAACTACGTGTAGCGGTGCGCGTGCTTAACTCCACGACTGCAGTTCTGTATCATGACATGAGTTAGGGTTAGGGGTATGGTTATGGTTAGAGTTAGGATTAGGGTTAGTCAGAAACGGAGTCGAGGTTGGGAGGAATGTCTGCCCGGCGACCAACCTGCGACCAACTTGTCGAGACTAGGAACGTTTGCTTATCGAGCGTTCGATATTACACGCTGGCGGTGAGCTATACACATCCCCTCCATGACCGCCGGAACGTCCACCGAACCCCACAGAACACATCGGACGCGTGATTTCCCCCACGTATCTGCAACTAGTATAGATGGCCCCCTCTGCACGCAAAATCAGGTTACGGGATCACGATAGTATGTTCGAACGGCGGTGGCCATTTTCGACGATTGCAACAGCCCACTGTTCTATATTCGACGCGACGCCGAAACGCGCACACGCAAAGGACAGCGGCGACTTACCGGTGAGCAGTAGAAAGCAGGCGGCGGTGACTATCGGAAAGAGACGTCGGGATATCTTCGCGTCCATTGCCACTAGCAGCGAGGTTTGCCAGCTGGGGACTACGACGTCAGAGCCGTGTCGTGATCGCCGAGAGTTCGCTGTCCTATCTGACACGGTCGGCTGCGTCTCCGCCAATGCGCCTCCCCGTTCTCCCCGTGTCCTACTCCACTCAGCGTCGTGCGTTCTCTGGCTGACTTCCTCCGAGCGTCACACCGGCAGCGTGTGTAAAAAAAAGGCGTCGTCAAGCGGCGGCGTTTAACCGAACAGCAGCGAAATTAATCGGTAATCGAGAAAAAAACGTGACGCGCGCGGCCTACGTGACGTGATGCAGGTAGGTGGCGTTCTGTCGTCTGCTCATGCAGACGCTGTGTTGCTGGTCATGTATCGGAGCAGCTGTGGACGCCGCTATACTGCCGTAGACTAATTTTGATTTCGCACCGACTACTAAGTAATCGCGTCGACCTAAATATAGCCGACTCGTGCTACATTTACGTCACGACAAGACAGCACGTAGAGAGAAGTTAGCTCGTGATGTCCGGACCTATTACGCCACTGCGAGATAGTCTTTTGCTAGTGACGTCACAGCGAACAGGAATCTACAGGCCACGCCCCCTTCCGCAGAGGGCCTTGTCGACGTCATCGCGGTCCCGCACGTGCGCTCGGACCCAGTCTAAGGTAATCTCTATGCGGCAATGATCGGGGCATTCAAGTTGCATCCGAAACTATGTTAAGGACGACCGTGTATGCTTCTCTATGAGGCATAAAAGTGAAGGTGATATCGGGAGGCGTGTACAATTTCACGTCGGCCGGCGCAGTGACACGCAGTTGCTCCACTTCTGATACAGTTGTGCAGGTATACACGGCGTCCCGCACTCGCCTTTCGTGACGGTGCGCGCGGATATACGCATATAGTCTCAGCGGATAGTTATATATATATATATATATATATGTATGCGCCTCAACGTCACGCACTCCTCTCAGACTCGTGTCTCGGATTAGAGAGGACTGGTTGAGTCGTGCTCGGGCTCGTTAGCAACGTGTGTGAATCGTGCATGTATATCGCACCCCCGCGATTGGAACCGGAACTGGTGCCGATACACGACTACACGCGCGTGTATTTCCCGCGCACGCACGCCGTAACTGGAATATAAGCAAGCAGGCGGTCCCGTCGTGTCCTATATGCCGGTATTTCTCAGCGATTGAAGGAGTCCAGTCGCGGTGAGTAAAAGGCAGACGCCGGTGCTGTGGAGCGGAGCGAGCGTACGCGTCAATGACTTGTTTTGATCGTTTTCTATGCATGCCACCTTAAGCACAGCAGAAGTATATATATATATATATATATATATATATATATATATATATATATATATATATGTATGATGTTAACGCGTACCTAATTGCTTATGGGTGATATGGGTGTAACTGTACTAGTTTGCTTGTTATGGGAAATGCTGTTGCTTGTGCTGGGAAATCAGATTGCCCACGGCAGGGCTGCCATGCTATTATTGTTGGGCATCTATTACCTCTAGTAACACATATACTGCTGTGTGGTTACGGTGCTACCATGCCCTACACTCGGTCCTAGCTGAGGTGCACGCACTGCGAATAATCTAAGCAATACTCGCAAGATAAATAGTTTGCCGTGTATCTAGGCATAGGACGCAAAAGGTCATTATGGCGAATGGGTGGTTCGACGCGTTTCGCTCTGAAGGAGGGCCTACCCTCTACGGAGAGAACAGGACGTCCGTAACGCAAGATGCTCTCCTCGTGGCGCTGTACATTCTCTTCATTATGTTCATGTTCGCATTCCTCATCATCTTGCCTGGAATCCGCAAAGAGGTAAACAACGTAGACATATAATATTCGGTTGATACAAGAGAACGCGGGAATGTTACCTAGTGTATGATGGAAAACGCATGACCTAACCGAAATGACTCGCGTGTGGATTATAGACAATGGTTGCCTTATATTGCATGCTGTATTACGAATTGTAGCCTAGCTCGATACAATATTAGTTTACCTATATGGACAAGAACGCAGAATCCGGCTGCAATCTACAATATCTAGTCGTTAAATGGGTAACTTTGCTTTCGTCCAATTTACATTGTTCATACAATGTTTCAATGTCATTCATGGTTTACATAAGGTCATGAACACGGGGGAATGCAATATCAAACCCACACGTGGTTAACTGACCTCGATTGTCGGTAGTGTTATAATATAGCTACTTAATGCACTCAGATAGCACATATACCTTTCGCTGACACGTACTTCGCTCTCATTTCCAGAGATTCAAGACGTTCTTTGCGGTCACTGTCAGCCTTTTTGTTGGGACTGTCATTTTAGGTAAGTAAAAACGCGGGCTGTACGATTCCTTTTTTCGACAATTTCCTTCCCATACAGCAATTCATTGGTGTAGAGTGGCTCGCGTCAGGCGTATCACGCAAAGCCACTTTAGCCACATTACATCGATTTATTAGAGCGTGTTACGGGTACACTACAAACAGCGAAAACTGTTTTGCTAGTGCCAAGTACAACCAGTGCATTCGTACCATAGTCTACACGTACTGCACTATACGATATTGTGCTCTCTAATATAATCAGGAGTCTATCAATATCAATCAATTATTGATAGACTCTTGATATAATAGCGAGCATTACGCGGATATGCGTTATGCGTTATGGTCTTTGATTAGTGAATCAAGCTTCATTTATGCTGCAATATAAATAACATTTTGTTTAGGATTATAGCAGTTTGTACTATTTAAATGTTAGAGAGCCCCGTAGGTTATATACTATTTGCATTGTATATACCGCATTAGGCCTGAAGGTCAGTCACGTAATTGTGTTTGGACTAGCTCGACAGATAACCAAGGATAAATAGCAATGAAATTTTATCCCCATCAGAAAATTACCCTTGCTCCATATCTAATGTATTAGTGAGACAATAGGCGAGTAAACAACATTAGCTTGAAATATAAACAGGGGTTCCTACTCACTAGAGTATTCGTCATATAATTAACGTTAGTGATAGATTGGATTAACAAATTGAATATAACTGTAGATAGATTATGTCTAACATGAACTAGTATATAAACGCAAACACACACACACACACACACACACACACACACACACACACACACACACACACACACACAACACACACACACACAAATCACACAAACACCGACACAGAACATCGTTTTAATTGCCAGTTTTCTCGTTCTTCAAGATTTGGTCTGTCTCTTCTAGGACATACCAGTCGTGTAGACATGTTCTCAATCTATCCCAATTCTAATTTTTGTATCATATTGCCTACTTGATTTCAAAACAGCATGCAATTAATTATACAGGTTTCCCAGTAATGTTCGCGGCATGCGTGCATCGGGTTTACTTTTGCAATAGATACTGCTCGTTATTGTTACATCGTTATTCGCAAATGTTTTTGAGGACACGGAGACAATACGCGCGCAAATTGTAAGCCCACTCACTAGGTTTGCTCCGGAGCGCTCCTTTTTATGCTACCACTTACTTCTGTCCGATTCAACGTCTGCACAGTCACTCTTTTATGGTATACCCCTATTGCTTACTTTCGAGTCGACTCCACTGTAAAGGAATTCCAGTTTGCATAAGGCAGCGAGGGTGCACCTTACACACGCACTGTTAGCACACACGCGAAAACAACATTCAATTACAACAACGCACGCACGCGGCATACACGCACACGCAGACACATACCGCCCCCCCACACACACCGCTCGCGCACGCACGCACGCACACCACACACACACACAACATCACACACATGAGCGCGCGTGCGGGTACGTCAGCGCACTTTCTGCAACCACACAATATACATTGCTGAAAAAATCCAACTCTTGCAGAGACAACTTATTCCCACAAAAGATTATATGCGGCCGCCTTCAAAAAAAGAATACAGTCTCTCTCACCTTTTAAAAACTCAGTGTAAAATATGGGCCAAGCTACCTGTGCAGTCAGTCTACACAGGGGCTTAACCGTGAAAGTTGAAAACGCAAGCGAAAACACATTTTGAGCACACATAATCGCGGGCTGTACCTGGGACACACCCACACACTATATTTTATATATTATATATATATATCATATATATTATATAATATATATATATATATATATATACTTGATTAATTGCGTAAATAAATATGTGATAAACGAACTTTCAGCGACGAATTTCGTTCATAATAAACATATTTATTACCTAATTGAATGCTGTAACAGTATAAATAATGTAAAATAACAACCTGTTATTATACGTATATGAAAGTAAACAGACAGTAAGTAACTCATATAAACCAAACAAGTACACACGCACGCACATAAACAAACAGACATACATGCAAATAAACACACAAAACATGTAAAAAATATATGTCATGTAATAATATAAATGTATTAAGAATAATATTGTATAGGTTGTAATATATTTTCCTTCTTTTCATTTCTAGTGTGCACGTATGGCTCTGATTGGCACGTGGGAGAGGCTAATATAGCATGTCCTTACAAAGCATTTAGCGACATCAAAATAGAAGCAAGGGTCGGGGTAAAAATCGGTCTGCGAAGCTTCAATATCACGCTACATGGTAAGTGGATGAAGACATTCTGTCTATCTATCTTTTTATATTTGTGTATTTATTTATTTATTTACACACGCATATAATATGGCGTGATGGTCTTGTAAATAAATGGATGCAATAGTGAATAAATTTGTGAAGAAAGAGAGAGATGGAGAGGGAGAAATGAGTTGAGCGAGAGGAAAATGAGGAGGAAAGGTGAAGGTAGGGTGTGAACACGAACTATAATTGCTTGGGGCAAAAGTAGCGTTTATAACACATCGTTATTAATTGCTTGCTCGCGCGGTATCATGAATCCTCTACCGTAAATGAATTATTCCGTAACCACTGTCAACATGGCTTTCCCTGACAAGTATTTAAACTGAGGAAGTCACGAAATTGCTGTAAAAATGCGTGTATTTGCTGGTATTTTTTAGTATAAAGAAATAGCGAAATATAATATATCCACAAACTCTTGCATTAATAAAATGTTTTAACCTAGTTAAAGCAATAATTAAAACATAGAAATTTCTGAAAGAGGCTAGTGTGAATTGTTGAGTGGTAGACCTTCATTTGTGTTTGATGTAGCAACAGTTTCCAGCTCGTTTTTTAGTGTTATCTGTCATTTTAATTTGGTAAAATAAACAACACTGCTTCCTGAGTTGTGTTGCAAACATACTGCTAAGAAGCATATATTGATACAAGCATTAGGTTCAATTCATGAGAATTAATATATTTATATGAGTAATTTATATGAGAAACGAGGGTTGCAAAGAAATTGAACATTTGTGTCCTTTCGTGCATTTCTGCATGATTTAATGAGAAACGTTTTTTGATTTGGATATATATGGGCTAGATGGGCGTAAATACCACGGCAAAGCTCGACGACATAGGGGTGCTGTGTTTGTGAGTGTGTGCGTTTACATTGGATTACAACGATCAAAAATTGTTGGTATAACACTGTCAAACTATAAAAAATGACAAAAACAGAAAATATATTTTGGAACAATTACAATTTTTTTAAATGATTCGATTAACAAGGGTCTTTACTGGTTTGAATAAATGAACGTTTCAAAGAGAAATGTGCTCATCTACCCACGTGCTCTGCTCAAATTCCTCACAAATTACTACCTGCAATAACTACAGCGAGCTGTCACACACACACACGAACACGCACACACACACACACACACACACACACACACACACACACGCACACGCACACGCACACGCACACGCACA